GAGTCCACAGCAGAGCCATGTCCGCACCTTTTACAGATACCCTGTATATTTTATTTGGAAATATAACTATATTGATTGTCACTTTCTCGGAAAAAACTTATTGATTCCCTTTTTTTCTATATATCCAACACGTTCGTTACAAAACATTTTCAGACCATCTTTTATCATTTTTTTTTTTAATCACACGACCCTGTATATTGCCATATTTTCCGATTTATTGCGAAAACATCAGCTCATCAAAACAGAATTGTTTTCATATTGGTACTGGTATTTCCACTTGAATACGCACACAATTCGAAGAGACGAAGAAGCCTGAGGGTTTTAGCCAAAAGAATCCTCATTCGATCACATAAAAACCATTCAATATACTTTATATCCTTATACATTCTCAAAATTCCTATCAGCATTGCATCAAGAAGCTATTATATATTTTCATGCCTACTAGAAACTGATAGATCCACATAAATACCCGAACAACAAGGCCAAATTCATAGCATAGTTTACTCATAAATCCACATAGATTCACATTTGAAAATTCACTTGGAGAGTCATTGAGTCTCCACATAGAGGGAAACACAAAATTCAAGTTGGTAACAAAACAGTAACTTTTTTGCGTTGGTACTTCTGAGACTGAGCTAGCCACTAGCCAGCCATATTTGTTTTAGTTTATGTTGCTCGCGAAGGAAGACAGGTATCTCTGTTTCGATTCGAGAGAATACCCATTATTCTGAAATTATTGTTGAGAATTGAGGTGTAAATTGCATATCATATCATGTGTAGTGTAGTGGATTCGATAGTGCTTCAATCTGAAATAACTTTTGGATAAATGTGAACATTGCTCATGATTACCAACGGGATTTGTTTCTTTGTTCGCACCAAGAGGTTGAACATCCGCCATGATGCACAAACTTGTGAGTATATTTTATCTCGGATATTGCATCACTTCATCCTCATTGCTAATTTGGATTAATAAGGATTATTGAGTATAAAATAGACAATTCAATGCTGATATATATAGGGTTCAATAAGTTCCTGTAAGGTTTATATGTTTCAATGATTGAAGGTTAAAAATGACTGGCACAATTTTACACATAACTTCGTATATTGTTAGTTGTTTGTATAAGGTTTCCAATCACGATACTCAATTATATTTCATTGCTCATTCACGAGCCTGAGAAGGTATGATATATGTGTGGAAATCAACGAATATAATCGTATATGATATCGTGTGGAAAGACAGGAAACAGTGAGGGCAGCATTCATTAGCTGTAATAAGGAATCCCGCATCTGATTCAATGCGATTTTTATGAGCATTAATATGATTCAAGACGACTCCAAATTTACAAGTTTCAATGGTGAAATTCAGTGTTGATTACAATCGTATCTTACAGGTTATTATAAGCAAAATATCTTCCAGGAATTCATACCGTCTAATGAGGAACCACAGATCCGATTACATTGAATCCTCATTGAATGTATGTGGAATGAAATATTTGAAAACCAATAAGATTGTATAAGACATTACTATCCCAATATGCAATGAATTTTATGAGTTTTCATAAGACAATTAATTTTCGAGAATTCACGGGACCAAATGGCATTGGTTTTTTGTGAGTTATTTTTTATTTTGAATTATTGAGGAATCAGAACTTCGATCAATACTGAGCTATCTTGGAAGATGTCATGAATGTTCTTATTCCAGTCTATTTCAGGATTATGATAGGTTCATATAATCGATGAGTCTTCGTATTCGTAATCAAATTAGGAACGCACGATGTTCTTTTAACATTATAGGGATTCCCTTTCGTGCGCTCCAAGCGATAAAAAAAAATATATATATTTGAATCACGAGCTTGATGAGGTTTTATGTGGAATTTATAAGATGAGATCTTATCATAAATCGTGTGTAAAGAGTGAAAAAAGGATTGAATAGGAAACCTTAATCTGATTTTATGCGATTTCTATCAGCTTTCATATTACTCAGGGCTTCAGGAGGCTTTATAATGTATGTTTCAAAAATTCCAAATTGAAAAAAATAACTAGCACAATTTGACACGTACCCTATATCAGTGTGTATAGGAAGTAAGTTTTTTATCTGAATGGTATTTCAAACACACATCAATTTTTTCACAGTTCCCGAGAAGAAAAATTATGTCTCCTGAAAACCATCCCATATCAGTATAGAGATTCAAAATGAAAAATGTATCTGTAGAGTTGTGTCCTTGGAATTTCTATCACCAACGAATAAATGATCTTGCAAAATACAAACATATCGAACTCATGAATGTCGCAGTATTTTTTTGTAGATTTGCCATTAATACCTGATGATAAACGTATTCGCTTAGAAAACTGCCATCAGAAACAGATTGCAAATACATTTCAAACTAATGATAAGCGATAGCGATAAGGAATTGAATGTATCAGCAGAACACATTTCAAACACACAAATGCCACGGTATTTCAATAAGATATTATTAGAAACTGATTATAAATTCATTTGCATTTTGAAGTTCGTGAGGAATTGCTATGAGGAACTGATTAATAATACATATATATCTGTAGAACACAGTTTATACCCATAGAGTTATGTATAGGCTATTCCATTTTTGATGTTTCTACGGGATATCTCACTTATTTTCGAAGATAAAGATTTGCGGTTTTTGAGAACGTTGTCTACTTTTTATTGAAACTCACGATACCGCAAATGGAATTTTCATAACTCGCTTCGTTTCAAAGATACAGGGCGAAATTGAAAATCTTGTGTTCTGGGTCCACCCCTGTATCTCAGTTATCTTTCAATTTATTGAAAAGTAAAAACCCCCCTTTCCTTACATTTTCTCACGAAGAAACCAGTGATGTAGTCAAATTTTCAAACTAAACTGTTATTATTCAATTACGTTGTTTTCAAATGGCACACCCTGTATATTTTTTCATATTGTGAACATTAAGGCTTTTCGATTTCCAAAAATATATTACACATATGTGATATTTTGAGTGGTAGGCATGAATTTGAAAAATGTCTAGTTTTTCAGTAGATTTTTCATCGATGGGCCTTGTAAATATGTGGCAACATGCATTGTCCATATCACAAATTTTCATATTGACCTTACTGCTGACACAATGTTTCCTCATACACTAGTTTCAATTCCACCAACATTGAAGATCTACCAATATTCAGCAATATTTATTGTCTGTAAAAGATGTGGACCTCATTAGTAGGTGGCTATGAAAACAGAGCGAGTGTAGAATGTTTTTGAATCCTTGCCACCTCCCTGTCGAATTCACAAATTTTTCATACGATAGCGAATACTAATCCAGGATACGAAAATTAGAAATGGTTGTGATATAAAATAAGTTGGTTTCAAATTTTTGTGGTTCTGATATCCTGGATTATTAGTCGCCGATGTATAAAAAAATTGTAAATTCTACAGGTATGTGACAAATATTATAAAACATTCTGCACTCGCTTTTTTTTCATAGCCACCTACTCATTAGGTCCACAGCTTTATATTCAATGAATACTGCTGAATATTGCTGAATGTTTAAAGTTGGTAAAAATTGAATCTAGTGTGTGACGAAACACTGTATCAGCAACAAGGCAAATATGAAAATTTATGATATGGACAATGTTGCCAGATATTCACAAGTTCAATCGATGGAAAGTCTACTTACTGAGAAACTAGAATTCATCAGAATGTTGGGCTAAGACTAGAAATATCTCATGAGTTGTATATTTTTGAAAAGCGAAAAGCATCAATGTTTCAAATGAGGGAAAATATACGTGATGTTTCATTTGAAGAAACATAACTTTGGATTGATTATATCTGAATAATAACAGCTTATTCTGAAATTCTGATTACGCCACTGGATTCTACGTGAAAAAATGTATGACAAACACTTTCGACTTTCTCGATGAATTGGAAGATGGTTGAGATACAAGAAGGGTCCCGAAATGCAGCATTTTCAATTTCGCCCTGTATCTCAAAAAGGCAGCGGGCTACAAAAACTTGGTTAAGGGTATCGTGAGTTTCACTAAAAAGAAGCCCACGTTTGCGAAAATGGAAAATCTTTATTTTAGAAAATAAATGAGATACCTATCCCGTTAGGACATCGAAAATGGCACAGCCTGTACAGGGTATTCACGAATATTTTGAACCCCTACTAAACTTTTTTATGTATTGTCAATTTTATTTTTTCAAGAAACTTTCTTCAATACTCTTTCTTTAAATTTTATATATGCCAATAGAAAAACTGACTATTATTTGAGAAGTTCAACTGTTTGTATATACAGAAAAAATATAAAAGATCGTTCTTGGAAAAAAAATCGAATGATACATGAAAAAATAAGCAGTGGTTCAGTACAAAATACTGAAGAACTGTCAATAGTAACTCTTTATGAATAGATATGTTATACTCATTTCAAACTAATCAATGCCACGCTGTTTCAATTAAGACTTCCAATATTAGGAACTGATGATAAGTGTATATGCAAATCAGAGTTATACTTATAGTATTCGTGAGAAATTGCTATCAGGAATTGATCATGAATGTACCTGCAGAACGCATTTCAAACTCATAAATGCCACTTTTGTACAATGAGAAACTCTGATCAGGAACTGATTATGGATGTATCTGCAGAACACAGTTCATACTCATAGAGTTGATATGGAATTTCTATGAGGAACTGATTATGAAAGTATCTGCAATAAATATTTTGAACTCATGAATGCCACTGCATTTCGATGAGGAGTTCTGATCAGGAACTGATTATAAATCTATCTGAAAATCAGAGTTCATATGGAATTGCTATGATGAACCCATTATGAATGCATGTATCTACAATACACATTTTGAACTCATAAATACCACGGTATTTTAGTGATTAGTGACTGATTATGAAATGTATCTGCAAAACAGAATTCATACTCGTTGATTTCATATGGCTGTGCTATAATAAGCTATCTATGAATGTATCTGCAATACACACTTTGAACTCATAAATGCCAAGGTATTTAAAAAAATCCCGATTAGGGACTAATTATAATTAATGTATCTGCAAAACAGCGTTTATAGTCATACACTTCGAAAGAAATTGCTATTTGGAACTGATTATAAATGTATCTGTGAAACACAGATTATACTCATAGAGTACCTGAAGAACTGCCAATAGGAACTCATTATGATTGTTCCTGTGAAACACATTTCAAACTGATAAATGCCACAGTAATTCGATTAGGAATTCCAATTAGGAACTGATGATAAGTGTATCTGCAAAACAGAGTTATACTCTAAGTGTTCCTGAGGAATTGCTATCAGGTATTGATTATGAATGTACCAGCAGGATACATTTCAAACACATTAATGCCACTGTGCTCCAATAAGGAATTCCGATTAGGAATTGATTATGGATGTTTCTGCAAGACAGATTTTATACTAATAGAGTTCATACGGAATTGATATAAGAAACTCATTCTGAATATGTATCTGCAACACACATTTCAAACTCATAAATGCCACGGTATTTCAATGAGGAATATAAATAAGGAACTGATTGTGAATGTATCTGCAAAACAGTTTTTACTCAAGAATTCCTATGAAATTGCTATCACGAACTCATTATAAATGTATCTACAATACACATTTTCAACTCATAAATGCCACGGTATTTCAATGAGAAATTCCAATCAGGAACTGATTAAACATGTATCAGCGGAACAGAGTTCATACTCGAAGACTTCGAAAAGAATTGCTATTAAGAACTGATTATAAATGTATCTGTGGAACACAGATGATACTCATTGAGTACATGAAGAACTGTCAATAGGAACTCATCATGAATGTACCTGTCAAACACATTTCGAACTGATAAATGCTACGGTGTTCCAATGGGAAATTCCAATTAGGAACTGATGATGATTGCTATAAGGGACTCATTATGAATGTATCTGCAATACACATTTCGAACTCATGAATGCCACGTTAATTCAATAAGAAATTGCAATTAGGGACTGATTTCAAATGTATCTGCAAAACAGAGTTCATACTCATAGAGTTGCTATTAGAAACTCATCATGAATGTATATGCAGGACACATTCCATTCTCATGAATGCCACAGTGTTTCAATGGGGATTGCCATCAGAATCTGATTATAAATGTATCTGTAAAACATAGTTCATACTCGAAGACTTCGTTGGAAATTGCTATTAGGAACCTGTCATGAATGTACATGCAGAACACATTTCAAAATCATGAATTACGATGTTTTAATAAGAAATTGCCATTTAGAACCGATTATGAATGTATCTGTGAATTACAGTTCAAACTCATCGACTCCATTGAGGATTGCCATTAGGAACTGATTATAAATGTAACTGCAGAATACATTTCGAGCTTATAAATTACTGTTTCACTATCCAACTTGACTCTGATATATTCTCATATGTAGATAATCAGGAATTAGTATTAGGAACTGATTATGAATATATCTGCGAAAAACAGTTCATACTTATAAGAGAAAGAAAGAGAATCGCCATTAGAAACTGATTATATATGTATCTGCAAAATACATAGGATTATACGGAATTACTGTTTCACTATCCAACTTCATTCTCATGAATTCTCATATATATTTTTTTATAAGTTTCTATGAGACATTTTTGGCAGGGCTTAATCATGATGAATTTTTAAATAAATAAATTAAAAAAAGCTGTCACCGCCGGTGGGGGAAATTGAACCAGGGACCTTTGCATTATGAGACAGCGTATATACGCACTGCGGTATTCCGACCTCCGTGATATTTCAATTATTTAAATGCTATTCAAACGGGATATCCATAGCTGACGCGCGCTTATCTTTGCAACGGATCCATCGAGGTAGAGTGAAGCGAGAGATGCATTCCAGAGATAAGAAACTTCGAGTCGAAAATAATATCCATCGCAGGCGCGCGCGCGCTTATCTTTGCAACGGATCTATCGAGGTACAGTGAAGCGAGAGATGCATTCCAGAGATAAGGAACTTCGAGTTGAAAATAATATCCATCGCAGGCGCGCGCTTATCTTTGCAACGGATCTATCGAGGTAGAGAGTAAGGCGGCTCGAGCGCGCGGTGCTGCAACGTTGTCGGACGTATGTGTTTGGATGTTAATATTGTTACATTATTGTGTATGGCAACGCTGTCTCGCTTCATGGCGTTCGAAGATCTAGCAAAGCGAGAGATCCCTTAGAATGATAAGCGCGCGCGCGCGCTCGTATTGGAAACAAATACTTGAATAATTAATTATTTATTTTTATAGTGGGTGACGCGTCATGCTGTTGTTGTTTTTTCTTCTGGTAAAATGACATCACGTGACGTGTGTGGGTACTCTCTCAAAATAGGATTTTTTATGGACAATTCTCGGAAATGCCAATATACCTATATGCAAAGTCGCATGGTTTGAGGGATATCGTTCTACCATTGACATATGTCATTAATGGTACATAAATGCGAAATGAAACTACTACGAGGAAAATTATTGTTAGATAATCAATTTTTATTTCACAGTAAAGCTTTTTTACAAAAATAGCATGATTCTTGAGAAGATGGCGGTCCATCCCAGTGAGTAGCCCAATCAGGTCGGTTATAATGGACGAAGCACGGCAGCTTGATTTGGAGGTTGAAGTTGCCACGATATTCATTGGGAAGTTTGTGCCACACAGCCAATAGCCCACAAGCATTAGCATATTCAATGAGGCATTCCACTGGAATGTACTGTAATTCTTCTTCAGTGAATTTCACCAAAGCGGCCTGTGTTCTAGCGGGGAAGCGGGGTAGCTCTGGCGCGAGCTTATCGAAACCGCAACAATAACACTTTAATGACAATAACAAGATTGAATTTTCATATACAGGGCGTTTGAGTTGATTGAAAATTGAAAAAAAAAAATATATACAGAGTGTCCTACGGTTCGCGGTCCCATGTTTTAGCATGGAAGGAGTGTTTGAGTTGAAAGAAATATATACAGGGTGTTTGAGTTGATGAAGATTGAAAAAAATATATACAGGGCGGTCCATGGGGGTGAAAGAATACGAAAACGAAGATAAATAATCAATTTATTTAAGTAATCCTTTTCTACAAAAATGACATGCCTCTTGAGAAGATGGCGGTCCATCCCAGTGTGTGGTCCAATCGGGACGATTATAATGAACGAAGCATGGCAGTTTGATTTGTAGGTTAAAGTTGCTGCGATATTCTTGAGGAAGTTTGTGCCACACCCTTAATAGCCCATAAGGATCTGCATATTCAATGAGACATTCTACTGGAATGTACTGCAATTCTTGTTCAGTGAATTTCGTCAGAGTCAAAGCGGGAGATTTTATAAACTCCAATAGCACAGCTATTTCAGACTTCATGATTTTTCGAGCAGAGCTAAAATATTTCAGATGCTACTAGTTTCGCGTCAAGTTGTAGACTGATGAAATAAATAAAAAACGAGTCACATATTTCAAAGGTTTTTATTCAAATCAGACATCAAATCATTTTTACAGTAATATAGATATTCTCTGAGAGCGTTACTAGACATGCTATCGCAAACATCACAAAACCCTAATATAAGCTCTTGTGCACTCAAAACAGTCAGTTTATTTTTTATCCATTCAGCTATTACATTCATAATATTCTGATAAAACATAAAAAAGTCCAAGTCATTGATTAAATTAACTCGATGTGAAACAATGCACATTTCAGCACTCAAAATGTCTGCAACATCTTCCTCCATCAGATCGAATATGACGTGGTATTTGGAGAGGGTCAACATTTTGACACCATCGCAGACATGTTTGGCTACGGTAGCATAGTCTCCACAAGCAGTAATGATCGGCTCATATTCATCAATAAAACCAGGTAGGGGTTGTTCAAAAAAGTCTTGTTGTGCCTTATGCAGCAAATCGATGAAGGTGGCCCATTCGTAAGTACTGAATGAAATTTTCGCTGGGTAGAAGGGTTTCTTCAGAATGATGGCCGGACTAAATTGTCTAGCTGGACTGAGTCCACACTGGATTGTGTAAGTGGACAACTGGAACGATGTATTCAGCAGGTGGTGTGATTCGGCTTTCGCTGCTTGTTCAATCATGTCCAAATATGTATTGACATCACCATAATAACCCATCATTGATGATGATGATCTAGAACTACCGTCTTCGAAAAGCACTTCACTAGATGAATAACCAGAGTCTTCACTCATTGTTCTCGAACTGATGTGTTGAAAGTTTCAGTCCTCCTTATTTATACCATAACTGTTGACTGATCATAACATCCGGCAGATTGGAATAACAGGTTATTTGTTAGTGATCGATGAAAGGCCCTCTCATAGCCATTGAATGTGTGCTTCTTTTCCATATGTTTGCATTATAATTTATTGTTGGAATCAATCCAACTATTGTGTGTATCATCGAATCCCAACCATTTGACAAACACCTTTTTGCCTTTTTTTCTTAAAACTTTTTCCACTAGATAGATGTCAGGATTTATAGTTTTTTGCAATTCTTCAGGATAAAAAGCACCTTTGATCGGAGTACCATGCAAATCTTCCAAGAGATATGTAGTAGGTTTCGTAATACGAACTTTTACGATTTTAAATAGTTCAGTAGTCCAATTTGGCGTATAATTCTTTTCGAAAACATGTTTGGCTTTGCTTATTCTCACAATGTCACCAACATCGAATTTTCTGGTTCCAGCAATTTTGATGTGATTGTACGTGGATTTTAAAATATCTTGTTCGTTGGCTTTGGTGACGTCACTGGGCTTGCATCTTATTGTCGTATGTTTCGTGTTATTATAATTTTTCGTGATTTCAGGCAGGACATCTATCCAACGGTATGAGCCATTCAAACTAAAGTACTTGTATAGTTTTTCCTTCAATGTTCGTATAACACGTTCAGCAATGGCTGCCTTCATTATGGTGTACGTATGATAATGGTTGATGGAGAACTTTTTCATCAGACTTTGAAACTTTTCGTTGTAGAATTCGGTACCT